ACTTGACATCAAAAAAGGAAAAATGAATAAATTGGAACACATCAAAATTAAAAACTTTTGCTTTGCAAAAACTGTTAAAAGAGGATGAACAAATACGCCACCCATCCACCAAGCCCCTAGAGATCTATTTCCTTTTATTATAGGTAAGTTTGCATTTTCTAGAGTTTTATATAAATGGAATCATATAGTATGCAGTCATTTTTTAGTATGGCTTCTTTCATTGAGCATAATTTATCCATGTTGTTGCACATATAAACACTTCATTCCATGTATTTGACAAGTAGTATTCCACTATAAAATATACCACAATTTGTTCATCCATTCACCTGTTTCTAAGATGCCTCCCTCCTTCCCTTTTTCTTGACACATTGTACTAGCTCTATTACGATGCTGAATAGAAGTGATGAGTATACATCCTTGTCTTGTTCCTGATCTTAGGTGAAAGAATTCAGTCTTTCATCACTAAGTCTGATTACCTGTAGATTCTTCATAGATGCCCTCTATCAGGCTGAGAATGTTCCCTTCTGCTCTTAGTCTGATGAGAGTTTTTATCAGGAAGAGATGCTGGATATTGTTAAATGCTTTTTTTAAAATGCCTATTGGTATAATCATAGTTTTTCTTTTTAGTTAATATAGTGAATTACATCAATTGATTTTCTAATGTTAGACTAACAGTATATTCCTGAGATAAACTCACTTGTTCATGATGTATTATTCTTTTTATATACTATGGCCATTTTTAATATACAACAACTGGGCTAGAGAGAAAAGTACAAATATTTTTATTTGATTTTCAAAGGTAACCATTTGCTCAGTATAATTTTTCAGTTTGAAAAACAATCTATTTTATTACCTCATATACTTAATAACTTTCACAAATTCATATGGTTTCAATAAAGATAGGAAAATCTTTAAGTTATATGGATACTTCCTCAGCATAATATGATATAGAACTGGAGCAGTCTGCTTGCTGTCTGACAAATATAAGTAGATCCAGGCTTTGCTTTTTCAATTTGTAGATATTTCAAAGAACTAACAGCAACATGTCCAATTCTGCTTGGTGAAGATATATTTAAAATATAGGACACAGAGAAGCGTCTAAAAGCTTCCAGTCACTTACTGTTATCTTCCTTAAGTATTTAAATATTTTCTTGATTTTGTTAATTTACTTATAGCAAACCCTAATTTTCTATCTTTAGTAAATTGATTCCTAATAGAAACTCTTACGGGCTGGTTTGACTTTCTCATTTGTATTTTCATAATCTGGAAAAATTCAGAGGCTTCAGAATAGCATTTAACAGATAGCTGTTTAAATGTATTTGTTTATATGCTTATCAGGGACCTCAACTTAATGGACTGCAGTCACTCTCCTATACTTTGAAATCTAGATAGCCTACTTTATTCAAATAAATAGAAGAAAACAGATGTTCTGCCACAAGATCAGAATCAATGAGTTGAGTTCCTGCTATACTTTTTACTCCTTATTTATTTGCAAGGGTGGCAGAGTGGTGGTGGTATCCTTGTGTGCTTGTCCCTCAGATTTTGTTCATCCTTCTTATACAGGTGTTCATTTGTTTCCTAGACCTTTGGCCTAAGCTGTAACCAAACTAAAATGTAGGCTCCTACCTTTATTTCTTGTATGTCTTCAGTTTATATCAGACATTTAATATGCACTTGGCTCTGCCCTGGTCTAAACTTCTGGTTCTACCAGCCTGATCCAAAATGACCTCAGGCCTTAGTGTGATAATCTCACTATTCCTTCAGAAACCAGGAATATTATTCTTCCTTTTGTGTATTTAAAATTATGATTGTACCTGCTAGCAATATGTAGATATTTGTTAGTTTCAATAAACTCTATGAAGCTCAAAACCAAAATCATACTCAACACCTATTATTGTCTCTTGTTATTCCATTAATGGTATAAAAATTCAAGGAGTTATAATTATTAAAGGTCTAAACAGATGTTATACAAGTAAGATATTATACAAGTAGTAATACTAAAAAATAAAAAAAATAAAACTTTTTTTCCCTAGAAGAAGGAAATTAATTAGGAAAATGAAAAATGGAAGACTCTCTTGTGCTGTATTTAGAGCCACTTCATGAAAAGGCTAAGAGTTTCTGTTTGGGAAGATGAGAACGTTCTAGAGATGGATGGTGACGATGGATGCACAACGTAAATGTATTTAATGCCACTGAACTGGACACTTAAAAATGGCTAAAATGGTAAATTTTATGTTATGTATGTTTTAACACTTAAATGGTATTCTAAGAAATTACACTACTTTTTAAGATGTACATTATAACATACTTCTTCATCTTAAGCTAAGTGACACTCTTGTGTCTTAAAATATTCATGTCAATAAACATTCTTCAGAAACTCAAGTTGTTTTCTAAAATTTTTTTAACAAACTGCTTGAGCTTCTCTGGCCATAGGGTTTGCTAGAAAAAGGCACAGACAGTGCTTTTTTAAAAAGTAAAAATATATTCTTTAGTCAGTGAAATTGAATCTTCTTGTTTACAAAATCATATTCCAAACATGCTTCCAAATTTTCCTGATTTTGAAAAATAGATGCCTCTAAAACTGGAGATTTAGATTACAAGTGGCTCCACAGAACTAAAATCTTGATGGTATATTTTAGTAATTGTGCAATTGCCAGAACCAGGCAGTAGGTGGCATTTTTTGTAGGCACTCAAGGCTTTTGGAATAAAAGATCTTGTGTTTAGAAATGTAGAAAATAAACCAAATAGAAATTCGCACTGTTTTATAAACAATTTGAATATGATGAATAAAATTGGCAATTCAGGGCTTAATTGAAGTGACAGGAAACTCAGCATATTTTGGAAATTACAACCCTGCATCTTGCACGTGTGCATAAATATAAAGCTACTTCTCTGGTTTTCTCTCCTTTAGAGGCTAAAACCTATCAGATGTCCAAGTTAATTTTAGTGTGGCATCTTATCTAAAATCTTCCCCC